CTTGACAAATAAATGTCAAATGACCATTTATATTTATTTTGAGTATCTGCTGTCGTTAAACAATTTACAGAGAGGAAAAAGAACAACCCCCCCCCCCCGAGTGAAACAGTTTATCCTCTGCACCTGTTTATCTCTTCAGGCCTCCTCACTTTGATCACACCACACAACCACATCACCAGCAGCTGGTTCTTTGCTGCGGCATCTTAACAGAACTTATAAAACTCAAAGAAGTTTCAGCACATTGACACAAACTCAACTTCAGCTGAATGTCCGCCGGTGTTTTTGTGATCAACATTAATGAGTGATCACGTGTCTGCACGTTGCCTCCAAACCTTTTTTTTTTAAATTGCCAACTGTTTCACGTTTAGATCAGCCGTGTCAGCCGTGGGAGAAGGCCTCTCCCTGCAGTGTTATAGGAACCAGGTGTCCAAGGTGTCAGAGAGGATGCAGACTGGCTGGTTTTGGTTAATGTCCACTGAGGATCTTGTTTTCTGGGTCACAGAAAGTAAAAGAGGGCACATTTTTTTGAGGGAGATGAGGAAAGAAGAACCCTCTCACCCTGAGTCCTTCAAATTCCATCGTGAGCGGAGACACCAAACAGCTTCCTGCTGAGAGTCGACAGATATACACAAGACTTTTTAATACAACTTTCAACAAGAATGATAATTTTTAACTTCACTAGATCCAGGTCTGCCCCAAAGTGAAAAAAACCAGTCCCCCACATATATGCCTGTTTTAAAATGATGATCCATGAATTATTCTCTGACAAATCAATGAAAATATTGAAACTTCTTGTGGCCCGGACAAAATGAGTGTGAGCCTCAAATTTTAAACTGTAAAATAGCAAATGTGGCTTAAAATCCCAAATGGAATGTGGACCTCTTGCGGTGCTAGAGGTGAGGTGTAATCTAGATGTGACCCTAAAGTGGTAAATGGTGAATGTGACCCAAATAGCACCAAACAAATCCAAGCCGCATCTGGCTGACATGCTGTAATATGGCTGACTCGTGGTCCAGATCTGGCAAATGTCATTCTATCAGTCCTCTATAATTTACACAGAAGTCGCCCATCAGCTGTTTTTACATGACTAAGCTTTGGTTGCACGTTCACAGCAGCTCAAAGTGTCCGTGCTCTTATGAGATCAGCACGAGGCTCAGGCCCAAAACAGACTTCATCATGTGATCACTTCATGTTGAGTTGCTGCCTCGTAGCAATGATCCCACACTGACAAACATACCGCAATCAATCACACACCGGAAACAATATGAGTTGATGACACAGCTTCTGTGCACGTTAGGGCTCAGATCTGTGTGGGTGTGTCGCCTTAAATAATTCCCACTGGGGGATGATTTAAGACGTGACACATTAAACAACCCAACACGGTGTATGGATAGATTAATTTAACACAAAACCTGTTGCACACAGGTATTATAAGAATACTTCTGCATGTGAAAAACAACAGTATGGTGCAAAGCTGTTGTGATATGCAGTTGAACCTTTTTAATTGATTATCAGTTTAATCTCAACTGTACTTTGGCTTCAGGACTAGTCTTGTGTGACATAAGCTGCTTCCCCTGCCACAGATCAACCAAATGCATGTTTCCAAGGTGTAAACACTGTGTCTGACATGACGAAGCATCCTCTTATGCAAAACACTCCAGCAGCAGCAGCAGCTAACCAGGGCTGGATTAACGAGCAGCAGCATCAAGTAAAGACAGTAATAGGATAAAGCCGAGGGGAAAGAGCACAAATAGACCTGGCCCGGTCAAGACACCTTCAGACTGTCAACACGGAGCACTTTGTTTATTCCGGCAGGACGAGAAGCAGCTTCTGTCATCTGCTGGTGAGTTTTATTTGTTGTCATGGTTACTGTTAGGCACTTTTTTATTAGATATCTCTCACAATCCTGCTTTTAATATGTTTTATTAGATTTTTCCTGACATGGTGATGTGGTTTTAATGAATATTTATCCGTCAGGGACGTTTACAGACAGTAAACATAATGTTCCAACCTATTTTAAAACACGATAATTAAATGTTCTTGTTTTATTAGACAGATAGATAATGGATTTGGCAATTTGTGCATCCTTGAAATTATGTTCATGGATGAAATTGTGTGTCGCGGTCAAACGCATTCAGACGAGTGCATCCAGCTTCTTCATCATCTTACAGACTGTTATAAATCCATGTTCAATATGTTGTGAGTATGTAATCAGGCTGCTTATCTTATCCAACTTAAACCCATAATGAAATAAGGCACATGAGTACATCCTCATTTGCTGTAAATCCCTGCTAGATGCCAACTTGTGCAACTTAGCGTGGCTGAACTGGGGCAGCGCCCCCCTGTGGAGCGAGTCAGGGGAGTTTTACTTTAAATACATGATATAAATACATTTGGTTTCTGATGACCAGAGTTTTTTGGTGAGTTGATGGCAAATGACCCTGTGGCACAGTGGAGCTCCCACTCATCAGTACAGCTTGTGATTAGTGCCTAGACTGTATCTTATTAGATGCATCGCCCCCTATTGTTCATCTCCTTCTGGTGTTTGAGGTCAAAAAACAGCTTCACAGGAGAGAAATACGATTCGTACCATTTTCATTGTGTTCAAATGATGCAGCAGGCATGTTTACTTATTTAATTTTTTTAATTTGATTCATTACACAATCATCTCTTTTAAAAGAAATGAATTATTTTTGGCGTATTTCATCGACAAGTCTTATCTTGATTATCTCATAAGAAATCATTTCATCTCATTGACCAAATTTTAAGTTAGTTCACAACACAGACAGACAATAAGTGGAAGTTATGAAATAAAAGTAATTAGAGAGTAAATGCTATAACTCTCTATTCACCTTCTGTTCCAAATCTGTTCTTGAACACACAATCAGATGGCTCCTACTGTTTATGTAGAACTGGGATTATTCCACAATCTGCTTTGAACTGTCTCTGCTCCAGATGTTGTCTGGCATCTGATGACTGTAGTTGTCTCGGTGCAGAAAGATGTGCAGCACCACCATGTGGCAGACCTACTTATGACCATGTGAGGATGTTCCTGCACATCCTGTCAGATTTGTGGACCAGATGAGACGACACCTGATCCAAACATATGTTTATGTTTGAGTGTCCATATGGAAAAGATACTGAGTCTACACACAAACACAAACCAGTAACACAGCTGTCATGTGCTTTCAGAGTTTGTTTCCTCCATCATCATCTCACACTGTGACCTGAAGATGAAGTTACTGCTCGGCTTGGTCGTGGTGGTGGTGACACTGGGCGTCCTCAACTCTGCCCCTGAGGATCAACCCAAAGACGTCTCCGAGGAGACTTTGAAACGTGAGTCGGGACAGAGGAATCTGGATTTATCTGCATCTCATGCAGTCAATGTCAACGCACTGCAACATTAGTGTCTCTCATTCATCTGTGTATTCTCATGTATATGTTGATTATTCACTGAATAGATGTGATGCTGTACTTGATGTGATTCTACACTCAGGTCTTGATCCTCTTCTCTCCTGCAGAGTTGTCTGAGGATGGAGAGAAACTGGTGGACGAGGAGGTGAAGAGAGCTCTGTATGGAGTGAAGCAGATGAAGGAGGTGATGTGGAGGAACGGGCAGAAACACGAGCACCTCATGAAGTCTCTGAGACACAGCAGCGACAAGAAGAGGGTGAGAGTTACATTGACCTTCAACCGAAAGACAGATGCTAACTATGTGGACAATATATTGAGTGCACCTTCTGTCTACCCCACCAGGGGGCAGCCCAGCTGGCTAAGGAGGTGACAGAGAAGCTGGAGGAGGCGGAGGAGCAGTGCAGAGACTCCCTGCAGTCTGAGTGGGATGAGTGCAGACCCTGTCTGGAGGATGCCTGTAAAACTTTCTACACCTCCACCTGCCGCAGGGGGTTCACTACTTTCAAAGCGAAGGTAAAACTGCAACTCTGAACTTCACTCTTTCAACAAAGCTACGAAAAATGAGAAACCCTTCATTTTGTTTGAACTGAATCCTGTTCACTTAGTCAGCGTCGCCTTCTCCCATCTTCCTCCATCCTCTCTTCCTCGTCTGGGGTGTTTCAGGTGGACATCACATTTACATGTCGACTAAGATGAAAGATGAATAAAATCACTTCATGTGATCGCTTCAATTTTTGGTAGATTGTTATTATTATTGTATGATTTCAAATATGATTATAAATAAACTAACGGAAACACAATTAATGATTTAAAAAGAGAAAACAAAAACTCCTTTGTTTTTTCTTCACATCACTACTTCCCAACATTTTTGCATGTGGCCTCTTAATATGAAACTGTCTTGTTTTGTGCTCTTCTTAGTAACTGAAGTAACCATCTTATTGTAGGTGGAGAATTTTTTCCACAGGGTTTCCAGGCGCTTTGGCTCCCGTGAACCTCGCATGGATGCAGGGGACATCCTGGTCAACCAGGGCCCCGAAAACACAGACAAAGAGGTCGACAACATCGAGGACTCCTTCAACCGCCTGATCACCAAGGTGGACGTGGTGGTGAACCGCAGCGTCGCTCTGGTGTCCAGGATGAGCAGCAGGCTGGACAAAGTCCTCCGGAAAACCTTCCTGAACAACAGCAACGTGCTGACGGAGGAGAGCACCACCGACCCCTACTACCCAGGACGAGACTCTGGCTTCCTGCAGGGCGTGGGCCTGGAGGAGGTGCTGGACTCCTTCTATGACTTTGGCAAGAGCGTGGTGGAGGAATTCGGAGCCGTGGTGACCCAGGTGTTCGATGACCTCCATGGGGCAGTGGAGGAAGAGAAGAAGAAAGGTAGAGGGACCCAACAGTTACTGTGAATTTAAGATCTCAGCAATTTCCATGATGAGATGGAGTAAAAGTCTGGAAATTCTGGAAAGTGTTTGTGGCACATGATGGAAAACTAGTGGGTTGGACTTAAACCTGCAAAAACTAAGTTCACCACAACTTTTCATATGCAACATTCTTCTCTTTGCTGCAGAGAGGGCAATTTTCCCCCGCTTCCTGCGGAACCAGAAGTTGTGTAGAGACCTTCGCAAACAGACCTCTGAGTGCTGGCAGCTCCAGAGCCAGTGTGAGGTCTGTCAGGGAGCCCTGCTCACAGGTGAGGCACCCCCACCCACCCCCACCTGTTATTACTTCTGCTGAAACCTCCTCACCCATCTCATCTGACCAAACCTCCTCCTCCTGTTCTTCAGAGTGTCCCAGTGTGCGTGAGCTGCACGTGGAGCTGGACGAGGTGTCCCAGCTGGTGGACGTGTCCAAAGAGCAGTATGATGAGATCCTGTCCATCGTCCAGCGTCACACAGACGAGACGGTAAACTGGCTCAGTGACATGGCTGCTGAGTTCAGCTGGGTGTCTCAGGCCATTAGCAACAGCAGCCCCACTGAAAACATCTTCAGCATCTCCATGGTGAGAGAAATACACCGAGTGGAAACTTTCTGTAGGAGCTTTAAACTATGATGTATATAATCAAAACCAAAAACTGATCTATAACTTTCACAACATCAGCCAGTCAACATCCAATAATAGCCAAGAGAGTGAGCTACATAAACTCTTGACAATACTTCTTTCCCTCTCAAGGTGGCACCAAAGGGACAGGATGAGCAGAACGGGTCTGTCTCTGAGACCAAGGTGGAGGTGAACATCCTGAACTCTCCCCTGCTCATCCTCTCTGTTCCCGGGGAGCTGGAGCCGCAGGACCCGGCCTTCATCCAGTACGTGGCCCAGGAGGCTCTGGACAAATACAAGGAGATGGTCAGGTGAGACGTTTAATGACCCCAGTGACTTTCCTGTCAGAATTAGTTAAGACAAAAGTGAGACTGTTTTTTTTCTCAATAGTTGAAATTAACCTTTAATAAACTCAACATTCTGACATAAATATATTCTGTCTTCACAGTGACGAGGATGAATAAATCGACAGCACAGCTGCTTTTACCTGCACCTTCTTTACGAACAGAACTAGACTGTGTTCCTGTGAAGTAGAAATAATCCCGTTGAAATGTAAATACATCTGATCTATGTCACTTACTGCCGTTTGTTGAATGTAAAAAGAAGACGATGTACCGCTCACCTGTTGTCAAATGGTGTAAATAAATAAAAACCTGATTGTGACTCAATTCAAAGAGTGAATGTTCAACTATGTGAGTCATGAATGATTCATAAATGTTCAAACTGTCTGAATGTGGATGAGGAGGAAAAGAACCTGAGGGAAAACTTTGAGTAAAACTTTTATTTTTTCTGTACAAAAATCATATTAGTTACCATTCTCAGTATTTTCATTATTATCTCTCCACTAGCTCAAGTCCCCACCTTTAGGAACGATCACATATTAGGTTTTTCGTGAGCGACGCACAGAAAGAAATAATAATCATTAAAAAAAGAATCTGTTCACATCTTTGTCCAATTCTTGAGCTTTCTTGCTGAATTAAATCATCTCAATTTTCTCATCACACAGTGGAAGTACCTCTAAACACTTTATATTCTCAATCGCTATAAAGCACTAAAGCTCCATCTGGAGCCGAGCGTGTGCAAGGTGTTTCTGTTTCGTCTGCTTCCATTAATTTCTGGTTCCAGAAGTGATCCATCACGTTCACCGCTGGGGGAATAAGAAATCGAAAAACCATAGGATGAAAATGGAGATACACATATTCTTGGTTAACATCGCTGGATGGATTTTACATAGTTGCAGTTCTCAAATTAATTTGCGGAATTGGTTTCCCACCAGCAGACAGAACCTGACGTCGTGTTAGAGTCAGAGGTCGGTGGGATTTTACCAACAGGAAGAAATACAACAGCTGCATGTCTGCGTGACACAACAGGAAGTTAACACAACAGTTCCCTCGCCCATCGATCACTGACTCATCTACTGCATCATTAAACTGTGTAGACGTGTGCAACGTAAGGAGAACTGGGTTAGAGTCTGTTAACAGAGTTGTGCACGGAAGAAAGAAATCTCGATCTGACTTCTGTTTCACAGCTGAAGTGTCCATTTCAAAACATTTATAAAATGCTAAACAAGAAATCTCCTTTTTTTTTGCATCTGTGAAATATCAAAATACATCTTAATGATTTTAAGTCCCCATTTAAATGAAAAATGTAGAAACATAATAAACAGACGTGATTCTCTGCTTAAGTGTTAAAAAGAATCATGCAAATCACTTTCATATTCTCATTCGTCCGTCTGATAACACCTGCTGAAATACACACTGTCTGCACATCCTGTGTGAACATCTGATCCCAAAACATTCTTACATCCATCTCCCACCCCCTCCCCCCGTTTACTTCACCTCACCGTTCTCTGACAAAGCTTTACAGTCACAGCACATACTTCACAACTCAACCACAGCCGCTGGTCACTTTAAAAAAAAAAACCCCACAACATACTCATCGACCAACAAACCAAACTCATGTTCGTACATATAAAAAGATCTGGACTGCAACATCAAAGCATCGTGTTTGTCAAATAAAATAAAAAGGGGAGAATTGGAGCAGATGAGGGAAATCTATCATTTATAAAAAGTAAAAAACTAACTGTGCATCTGTAGATTTGAATCAGGAGACAATCCCTCTCTGCTGGATCACAGTGTTGTGGCCAGTCCATGTGGATTATTCTGATTAGCAGGGTTCCCAGAGCTTAACGTACCAGCACCAATCTGCACACTTGGACACCTCCTCAAATATTTGGTCCCCAGGGACACAAGGGACAAACCTCTACTTCCGAAAAATTATTTATTTTTCCTTGCATTTGCAAGTGAGCCAGTGTGGTTGTGGACTAGTTTGTAAAATATCTTTCTCTGCAGCTTCAGCAAAGCATCCACAGCCTTGTTGAACTCCTCTGTTGTCCGATGCTTTGAGCTCTGCAAAGCTCTTCTCTGCAGTGACAAAGAGTTTGTCCTGAAATCAGACTAGAGGTTGTCCCCTGGCTGGTACTGTGGCTCTGTGGCGGTGAAGTAGTCCTCCAAGAAGGACTGGATGTACTCGAATGTGGGTCTCTCATCCGGCTCCTTCTTCCAGCAGTGCCGCATCAATTCGTGAAGAGACTCGGGGCAGCCCTGGGGGCAGGGCATGCGGTACCCTCTCTCTACCTGCTCAAGTACCTCTCGATTCACCATACCTGGAAAAAAGAACGGGAAACAGGATGTAAGTGGACACCAGAGATTTTTGGAGTTTACAAAATGAAACTTTAATTAAAAACTTGCACCCACATATCATCCTCTGTTATTTAAGTGAAACTAAGGAAATTGATTTTACTAAAGTTTTGCTGGTGAAGAAATTTAATTTGGAAACAACCCAGTATGCAGCTGCAGGCAGCAGAAGATGTTGGCCTCATGCAGCTAACAGTGGGAGAACATGCCCACACAACCACCGTGTTAAAAAAGAAAACACTTTGTGGAAGTTGGGTCATTATTTCCTAGAACATTTGTCGTGAATGTTGAGGTTAAAACACACAGCGGAAAAGGTCAGTCAGTGATTTGTAGAAACTAGTGCAGTGATTATTCTAAACCTGCCTGTGGGGAACAACAGGTAATGTGGTGATGAAGGTTTCTTGTGATGTGCATTTATTGAGACGCAGTGTGTGAAGACCTGCCTCTGGACCCTGAAGCCACCGCTGCTGCACTAACATCCGTTCATCGGTTTGTGAAAAGTTCAGTGAAGCTCGACTCAGTTCACAGAACCCGGAGCTGGAGAATCAGTTGTCGTGACCACTTGACTTTATTGTCGAGATCGACAAGATTGTCACTTATGTTTGACGAGTCCCCTTCACAGTGCACATGCTAAGTGTGACATCGATAAGACTAACAGTTCTCAAGATACGTGAGCTACATACAGACAGTCCAAGACTTCTGGAATAAGATAAAATGTCTATTTCAGTGTTCACACATATATAATATATAATAAAACATTACCAGTGTCTAACTTTGCAGCTGCAGCAATTTCAACCAGCACATGTTCTGTTCCTTCCTGCCCTGCGAGAGGATTCCTTCCCAGGACAGGAAGACTGTGATCTGAACCCTGTGACACAGAGACCGCTCCATGGGGAGCTTAACTGCAGCTAAAAGAGGTTATGACACTGAGACAGTGGTCATGGTCGCATCTCCCCCTCCGCCACCACCAGCACTCCTCCACCCCCCTGCATCTCTCGGTGGGAGAGTGGGGATCAGATTATCTCACACTCGGAGAGAGGAAAAGCCCGCAGCAGCAACTGCTGAGGCCAGGATATGGCGGTGTCGGATGCTGAGGGTTGTTAGGTTGATTTATGTCTGAATCCTCAGCCTGTCATATATACGTGAGAGTGTGTGTATCTATATATACACACGGACCAAAATAGATAAAGATGATGTGTTCCCATGCAGACGCTTGGTATACCTGCCTTCTGCTCTACCCAGGAAGGGAACCAAAATAGAACTCCCCAAAAATACCGCAGCACGTCAGGGCGAGAGCCACCAGTGCCCCGTGAGTCATATAACCATTTTGAGGAGGGGAACGAGGGGGTTCAGCCCTCAGAACTCTCTGTGGTGAATTAATTAAACTGTACGGTTTGCACTGAAACCAAAGAGGCCAGAGGAGCCAGATGGCCCTCCGCAAGAGATGGTGGTTAAGTCTGCCATATGGCACAGCCTGTAATCAGTGCCAGTCAAAGCCTGCCCACACCAGACACGCGGCAGTCCTGCTCACAAACAGCAGGGGGCAGAAATGAGGCGGCAGGGACACAGGGAGATTCAGAGGTACTTTCCCATGTACTGATAAATCATTGGACATCTGTGTTGACTCATATCATCTATATGCAGTTCTGTTCTATTCTGATCTGCTTGTGAGAGAAAACACTATTTAAAGCATCTGAATCACATCAGCGTGTTGAAGACAAAGTGAATTATGAATATGAATGTTTCCCATGAGGGAAACTTGGATGTTCTCCATTCATGTTCTTCAGGGAGGGAAAGAGGGATTTCTCCGATGTTAAATATAAACACACCTGGGTATGGTACTCTGCCTTTGGTCACCAGCTCAGTCAGTAGTATACCAAACGACCAGACGTCTGATTTGATGGTGAAGCGGCCGTAGAGAGCAGCTTCAGGAGCCGTCCACTTGATGGGGAATTTAGCTCCTGGTGCAGAGAGAAGGAAGAGTCAAGGAGGCAGAAGAGATCTCAACAAATTTTATTTATCATGGATTCATTAGCTGAATATTTCTTCAATTCATGAAAATTGTGTGAATATCTAATTACTTTAGCAGGAACAATGGGACAGTGGTGATTACAGAGACGGATAGAAACTGGAGGTGGGGCTTTAAATAATCAATCTGCTGATTATTTATTGTCATTAAGTTAAGCATGAAATCTATTTCTCACAATTACACGTCCAATGTCACATCTTCAAAGAGCTTTTATTGTTCAACTGTCAACCCAGATTTTATATTCAGTTCACGATCACAAGATATTATAGAAAAGTAACAAAAGCTGTAAAATGATGGGTCAACCTTCTTTAAATCGTTTGTTTTAAACTCAGTCTGAGGCTCTAGTGATGATCAGACATGAATTAAAGGTACCTGGTCAGATTTTAAGCATTCAGAATAAATGTGATGTCCATTTGTTCAAATTCTCACAAATAAGAAAACAAGCATCTAAGTGCAACAATTTCAAGACACACAACACAAACCTTGTCTGGCAGTGTACTCGTTGTCCTCGATGAGCCGAGCCAGGCCGAAGTCTGCGATCTTACACACCAGGTTATCAGCCACCAGAATATTGGCAGCTCTCAGGTCCCTGTGGATGTAGTTCATCCTCTCGATGAAGGCCATGCCGTCTGCGATCTGCCAACAGACCAGACAGAACGGAGAATCAAACAGAGAATCAGCAGAGAATGAGCTCAGGATGCAAATAAATGAAGGTGTCGTAGAAAGTTCATTTTTAGCTTTATTCAAGTAAAAAACTAATCTCAACATTAACTAAGTGGTGACAGAAAAAATACTCTTCATTCATGTTGATCTGACCCAGATTTGAATGCAGACCATGTGACAAGAAGAACAACATCTCTCCAACTCCTCCATCTCAGGGAATCAGCCTCGTTCTAATTCTCAAACACTTTTCCAC